AATGCATTCGAAACGCGTTGGCCAACTCATCACTAACTACAACTTTTACCCGTTGTTCTAACAACGTTAAGACGGCTTATCGACTTCTTGAGAAGAATTCTAAGAAGAAAGTAAACCTACAAACATCGGTCTTGTTCAATAAAATATATATATATATATATACTATTTTAAAAATCTGACAAACAGACCACAAACACAAAAGTTCAGTTAGTGGTTTTAATTAATATTTGTTTTGTAGTTGTAAAAATGTATATGTTGCTATTGCAAAACCATTTGTAACAAGAAATCTGATGAAAAAATATTTAGTGCACACATGCAAACCCACAAAGATTTAGAGCATTACAATGAAGCATTCATATTTGTCCAACATTTATTTTAAAAACAACTAAAAAAAAATTCCGAAATTATCTAAATTATCCTTTTTTGTTTCTAGAATGACTTCAAATTGTAAGATGAACCTATATCTGTTTATCCTAAATAGCTTTGAACTTGCAACTGTATACATCTGTATATATTTAACTTTTATTGCTTATTGAGCTTTATCTAACTAATATTCCTGCCATCAAATTTGAAAATTACTTGACAAATGTGCAACTCACATTATCCAATCAAATTACATAATGCACAAACTACTTGTGAGTTGCTTGCATGCATACTTAGTGAAAAATTTTTTTTTATTATTATTTATTTTACCTTATCTAATCTAAAAAAAAAGTTTTTAATTTTTTACTTTTTAATTACTTTTATAATAATAAATAAAGAATACACCAGAAAAACAAGAAATAAGGTACTTACTTGGGTCTTCTTTTGCTCTCAACTGTTGATGAAACTTAACCCTACTTTTTTTATACTAATGGTAATACTGCACTAACTAAAGTTTTATTTAATTAAATGATGCACCAAAGAACACAGAATAACCACATGCAAAAAGCAGACAATATCCTATAACTATCACAATTTTTCTGACTTTCTAACTATGCAACAAGAGCCAATAAAAATTCAGCTAAGCTCATTTCCTGTGGGAATGAAATTTGAACAGGAAGCACAATTGACAATTCTCTGTACAGAAAACAATGTAATATAATACATCATTTGATAGATTAAAACCTTGGCTTTCTATTGGTTATAAATAATATAGTATTAAACATCAGAGAACTACTGGCAATTTCTGAAAGAGAGGATGCGACAGGTGGGCATAGCAAGAGGGGTCTCATATTCTATTTGTTGGCTCTATAACTAAATAAGATTTAAGGCTATAAATATTACGCTTTGCCTGAGTGATGACAACATTACAATAAGTAATATATGTTAAATTTCATACTTTTTGGAGAGGGTAGTAAAATTAGAGAAGATGCCTAGAAAAAGAATGTAACAATTTTCATACTAGGGGAAATTCAGGTTTTTTTTTTAATACTGCCATATAAAATTATGAACTTAAAACTTATATACTATTATGATTTGAATTACTTAGCTACATTTGATAAATCTTTGTGAAATTCTTTTTGTTTTCTAATTTATTGTTTTCTTTCATCCCTTTAACATTTAGTTTATGAAATTTACTTTCATAGAAATGTCATAAAACAAGTCAAATGACTGTAGACAAATAAAGACTATCAATCCCAGTTGATTTAAATGCACACCATATAAAGGTTTATTAACAACATAGTTGAACACTGCACATGGAAATGTGAGGTATGATGACATTTCGCTTGATTCTTATATTTTTGTTTTAGCCACTGATTTCATTTTCTTTCATTCTTTCATTTTATTTCAAGCTAATTCCTCATTTATAAGAAACACTGGGCTTTAATGGCTGAATTTGATAAGCGAGGCAGCTCTCTTTGTTCTGAAAAAAGAAGCATTTGCACGAAAGAGCAACTGATGAACAGGTCAGGTTTCTACAATAAGTAATGGCAAATAATGCAAATAACAGGAGTTATGAAAACATTCATGTTTATGAAGAGGATCAATAATGCTTATTGAGATTTTTTTTCAAAGGAACAGAAACGTTTACAAGAGTGTTGTCGAGTTTTTATATCTGGGGTGGATTCTTTACAGGTGTCTGT